CAAAGAATAAAGAGGATAATAATGAAGGAGGCAATGAAGGAGGCAATGATAATGACGATGATTTATTGAATTTTGATTATAGTATTTTCGGATTTGAATCAAATGTAATAAATTTGTTGTAACAATATCAATATATAGCTTTTGTAATAATAAATTTCCGTTTAATAAGTAATATTGTGATAACGATAAATCAAAAATTAAAAAATTTTTTTTTATATAAAATTTTATATTAAAATTTATATTACGGTTAATTAACCAAATCTTAATTAACCGTTAATTTCACATCCCTATATATGTTATGCTAATTTGAATCAACTCTACTTTTATTATGTTAAATTTTTGAGTATAGAGGTTTTGCACCGTATTTTTTTTTTATTTCGTGAACGAGTTTTGATGTATATGTACAAATGCTACGTACTGTTTTCTTCTCTTAAAGAGATAAAAACTTTCTTCTCTTCGAGAGATAAAAATATTTTTCTTTCCTTGAGGGAGAAAAACCTGCGTTCAACTCGTTTAATGCCTGGGTTCAGTTAGAGTTAGTGGGTTAAGATTTAGATCGCGCTCTAGCGTTTATCCTTCGGTCCAGTTTTAACATTTAAAAATGTATAAATTTTATTTTGTAAACTAACTTGATTATTTTTTTTTATCTTTAGTTTACATGTTCCACTGCAGTCAGAACCTTGCGAAGCCAAGAAAACTCAGTAATGAAATTTAAAATAATTTTTTTTTTTTTTTTTTTATTTGTATAAAAAAAGCTAAATACGTATTAAAACCCTTTATTAAAAAAAAAAATCTTTTCTGTTATTATTTTTATATATTTGTATTTTTTTTATTTGCTCTTGAAGTACAAAAATTATTTTTTTTTTTTTGACGACATTCTACCTAAAAAAGTTTATTCATTTTGTTACAATAAAATAAAAAATACATTAGGATTTAATTATTCCAGAATAAAAGAAAAGACGTTTTGTAACTTAAAATTCTGTGAAGAAATCTTACTCAGTAATCATTAATTTTTTTTTTTTTGTTGAGTTTTCTTCAAATAAAAAAAAACTGTTCGGAAATTTAAAGATAAATGGTTTTTTATTACCATATTGAATAATGCATAGTCCGTGTCAATGAAGAGAGTTTCAAATGAAACTAAAAATGAGTATTTTTATTTAATTAAATAAGGTGCAACGATTATCTACCTAATATTTCCTTTAAAATACCAATGATTCGTTGTCAATTGAATTAACCAATATCAAATATATTTTTTTTATTTTATTTTGATTATTTCACTTTATTCGAACTAATTCTAAGTTCAAAATATTTATTATTATTAAGATTTAAAAACTTAAATTATGAACTATATTAAATCAATTTGGACTATTTCCAACATAATAAATGACGTTTTTGGTTTACAAATTTTATTTAAAAAGAACATTGTGTCAAATAAGTTCAAGCTTCAATTGCTGCCTGTCAAATTTTTTCATTCTTATATTTCAATTACTAATAAAAGTTTCTAATGGAGATTTAGTTCCCAACGTGAGAAAGGCTATTAATTATATTTACCATCTTTATGATATTTTTTTACCAAAATGTTTCCCCTTAGTGATCCTTTTCTTAATGAATATTCATTACCTGTCAGGCATACATTCACGTTAAAAAGTTAGGTAATCGGCGATAAAAAATTTTAAATCACCACCTAAATGAGTTCTGGAAAGGCTCCTTAAATCTGAGGAGTGTAAAATCTGTTCAGAATTCTTTGAATTTTAATTTTTATACTGACATCAAGACATTAAAGGAAAAGTTTGAAAAAAAATGTAATGATGTAGTTGAATTAATTATTTTTTATAAAGAAATGTATTTTTTTTTTGGATAGGTTTATGTGCTCCACTTTTTTTTTTTTTTGTATTTCTCTTAACGGAAAAAAAAAGAAAACATCATGGAAAACGAAGAAATTTTTCAGGTATTACCTGATTATGATTTCCTCATTGATGATTTTCTTTTGGTAAGCTCCTCGTCATTTTTCTTGTTTACACTCCCTTATATACGTATGAGCTAAAGGATCAATTTCAACAAAACAGTCACCTTCTGAATATGTTCAGCAAAGTCAACCAGTTAGCAATATCTCCTCCTCTTCATGTTCTTCGAGTAATTCCAGTGATGTCAATAGAAATTCAAAAAGAGAAAGGAGGAAGATGCTCAATAGAAAAGCAGCTGCAAGGTCAAGGCAAAAGAAGAAGAAAGAGCTAAAAGAATTACAAAATGATAATGACAACTTGAAAAATGAAATTGGACAGATGGATGGGACTATAAATAAATTAAGGAAACAAATAATGGAATTGGAAAGATGATGTAATTAAAAATTTATTCCCCCCCCCCCCCCCTTCGTTACTTTTTTTTTTTATATCATCACATGTGCTGTATGTAAATGATTACGAGTTCATATTATAGTTTGTAAATATTCCTTGTACGATTGCATAAAGAGTGTCTTTTACGTTGCATCATATTTTGGAAATAAAATAAATTAAATTGTATAACACGCATACGTTACATGTAAATTTTTTAAAAGTAAAATACTTTTTATTTGATTCAACGTTTTAAAAGGATACCTATTTTAATTATGCTTGTCGATCTATATTATTCCGGAATTTACGTAAAAATGAACAAAGCAATATAAAAATTTTTGTGAAATTTGATTAATAGTTAAAAATCCTTTTACGTATCATTTTATAACTGCAAAGCATTAAACTCTTTAATATCTAAAATCTCTCAAGAAGAATTTCGTATATTTTATCCTTGGACAAATTTTTAAAGAATTTTAATTCACCCTTAAATAACAGAGAAAAAACAAAAGTAATTAGTCCAGAAGATCAAAAATTAAATAATGGATGGTTAAATTTTACGTTTACGTACCTCTTTAAGAGCAATATAATTTTTGATTATATCATTTCCGATAGATTTAATCAAATCTTCATCCTTTTTCAATTCAGCTAAAGAATCTGCAAGGCTATCAGGTAATTGTTCGGTAATTCCAAGTTTTGCACGAGTTTCGGGAGATAAGTATTCTGGATCATCTTAAATGAAATATCAAATGGTTCAAAAAGGAATTTAATAACAATTAGAGAAACAACGAATGTATCCTACCATTACAATAATGCATTTTTAATTCCATTTCTTTTCGAATGCCATCAATACCGGCGCAAAGTATAGCCGCCAAAGCTAAATAAGGATTTGCTGTTGCGTCAACACATTTAATTTCAAAATTAACATCCATTTCTCCTTTAGTTCCTTCCCTAGGAAGATAGCATGCTCTAATGGGTGTCTCTCTATCATTTTTCATTCAAAAAAAAAAGTTTGATATTTAATATCATTTTACCTAATTTAGATTGATTAAATTTTACCTATTCTCGATACCCCAACTGATCCATTTGCCAGTCCAACTACCTTTATAATGTATGAAAGGTTGGTGATTAGAAAGAAAACTAAATAATAATTGTCCCACTGACAAACCATTCGTATTCTGTTAAAAAAAACCTCACCTATCACTGCTCTTTCATAAGAACTAATCGTTGGCAAAGTTAAAGCAGCTATCGCTTTCAAATGGCTTAATATACCTGCAACAAAAAAACTTTCTTTACGAGATAATTTTGAATGATGATCATCGTAAATCTTTTTACTCTGATCAATTTCTTGAATAGAAATGTGAAAATGTGAGGCTGTTCCGGCTGGATAATATACAAATTATGATGTTAAAGGTGATAATAATTAACATAATAATAAATCAATTGATAAAATAATCTTTACCTTTATCACGAAAGGGTTTTGGTATAAAAGTCGCCTTAAGAAGATTTTTAGCTGCAACATCATAAATAGTTTGTCGTGTTATGACAACCTTATCAGCAGCGGCTAAAGGATTATCAGGACTAGTGATAATTTCAAATTGACCCGGAGCCGATTCTGGATGGAATTGTTCTAGCTCAATATTTTGATCTTGCAAAGCATCAAGAATTTGTTCGATTGTTTGAATCGTACTAAAATCTCGATAAGCTGCTGCAGCACAATATACCGTATTATCAACAGCATTGGGTTGATAAGGTTGGTGGTTAGCATTTCCACCTCTTAATAATAAAAATTCTGATTCAATTCCAACTAGAAAATCAATTCCAAATTCTTTTCTTGCCAGTTCAACGATATTTTTCAAGCATGATCTTAAGCATACTGGATAAGGCGAGGATTCGCTAGATGATGGATAGCTTACGTCATCGGGAGTCACTTTATTTTCAAACGATATATGAACGAAAGCATGTGCAGGAAGATAAGGTAAATGTACGATTGTATTCAAGTCAGGTTTCATGAACATTTCTCCCGAAGGACCAAAATCCGTTTCTTTTACAAGAACATCTCCATAAACGGGTAAAGTATTTAAACATTTTGCGAGCGTTATTCCGCTGGAAACTGTTTTTTGAATAAATCTATCGATCGGAACTGCTCGAAATCGAAGCATATTTGTAAAATCTACCCATCCCAATCGTACGTATTTTACTCCCTTGTGTTTAAGTTCTTTGAGAGCAAGATTCGAAATTCTAGCAGATGATCCGATATATTCTAAAAAATTTTTAGAAAATTGAAAATTTTTACTTTTAACCTTAAAAAAAAAAAATTATATAAAAAAAAAATAAAAAAATCACCTTGGTTTGAAATGATTTTGGGGTTTAAGTTTAGTTTATATAATTCATTCGAATTTTCAAACATGATCTGTTTGGCTATTTTGATCGCTTCTTCAATAGTGAAATCTTCATTCTCAACTGCTTTTAACAAAACTTTACCCAATGCTTCTCTTACTTGAATTGTTGCAACATAAAATGATTCTGGAAGATAATGACCATCTGAAATTTTGAAATTTCGATAAACTTTTTTTATTTTTTTTAAAAAAAAAAAACCTTTGATTATCAAAATCATGAATTACCTGTACTAAACAAAATTTTGTTGGTTGGACAGATTTCGAGCTGTAAAGAAATTATTTAAAATATGAATTCAATAATTCAAACAAAATAATAAATATAATTTCGAGTAATATACCAATTCAAATAAATTTGTTTCTTGTCCTGTTGCAGAAATCATAGGAAATACAAGACCAATATCAACATAAACATTAGAATATACTGAAGCAAGATATCCCGCCTGACGCGTATAAGGATAAGACGAGTGTAATAAAATAATCTTTGCAGTCGGATATTTCTCAATTAATTTTCGAAGATGAAGAGGATTTGAAGTAAGAAGATCAAGATCGTTATCACCAAACCCTTTGAACATATTAAAATAAAAAAATTTGTTAATTAGATAAATTTTTAAGAAATAACATAAATATAAAATACATTATCTATACCTGTGTGAAGCTGGATTGGAATATCATATTTAACTGCAACTTCAATTGCCAAATTTAAAATATAGTCGATGAGAATTTTATCAACAAGCCTGGTTTCAACAACTTTAGGTTTCTCTCCATCACTTCCGACACATTCTAATATAAATTTTGCTAAAGAACGTACAACTAGATTATAATCAATATCACAATTGATATTTAATCCAGTCCTATAAGCAGCAATACTTTTAAATGAAACCACAAGATCAGATCTAGCTAAAGTTTCAAGTTGATTTTTAAAAGGATCTTGAAAAGATTTTAATTCCAAATTTTCATTTCCGGAATTTTTAAAAGATATGACCAAATCACTAATAGTTTGTTCAGCAATCTTTTCAATTCTAACGATTCTCTTCGCGCATTCAACCAATCCCACATGACTTTCCACATCACGAAGCCCATCTAATGAATCAAGTCCATCATCTAATAAGAGACATTGAATTCCGGTAGGATCAAAACATGTCCTACATAATTCTTCATAAGAAATGGCATCGGTAACACATTTAACACTCTCCAACGTCGCTTCACAATTATAAAGTTTAGCGAGTTGTCTCACACCACGTTTTAAAGCGCTTGTTTCAATAGACTTTTGTAGCGCTTCACCACGAGCCTCAGAAAAACAAACTTCCAACGGACAGGATAATGATGCTGATGAATTCAAAAGATTATGGGCATGATTATCTATGATAGGAAATGTGTTGACAGTTTTTAATAATGTATCACGAGTTACAGGTTCTTTGATGTTGGACATCCCTTGAATACAAAAGTGCGGTTGAAGTTTAAAGTTTCATGGTTTATAAAATATTATTATTAAAATTAAAAAATCTCATCAGGCATATGATATTCATCAGATTTAGTAGGTGTGATCGACATGTTGCACTTTTTTAGTTTAGTATCGGGCGTCCACGATGATTTTCGGGTGATAAATAGCCAATTCCGTCTGTGATAAAAGATAATTCTGCAAAATTCTGCGATTTGGCCAGAATTACATAAAATCGGGTGGCATTATGATTCACCAATCCCTGGCCAAAATAGTGTCGGCTGGCATTATTATGGTTGCGCGTTTTAATCTAGGCCAAAATTTTAGAAATTATCACCATTTTTATATGCCTATTCCGTGATTTTCTGCAAAATTCTGTGTATGCAGAAATCATCGTCCCTGGTTCCAACCCAATGCATAAATAAATATTTTTTAAAGTATATCTCGTGACATATACAGTTGCGATCTATGGTCTTTCACATTATCACATGATTATATTAGAAATATTTTTTGCTTTTTTCAAAAAAAGACGAATTAATTAAAAAAATAGTTTTTGAAAATTGTTAAATATGAAAAAATCAAAACTAAAGATGACGTTTCAATTAGTTGTAACAGGTGTTAAATAAGCATCATAATATTACAACTAATTGTAACATTATGCAACAGTTGATAAATAAGCATCACAATGTTACAATACTATCTTTTAAAACAACTATATAAAATAAATAAATTCTTATATTCTTATTTTAAATTAAATAAAAAACTTATTTATTAATAATTTCTTAATAAAACATTAAAATTAATTTTATTAATATAATAATTATATATAAAAATATAGTTTAATATATATTTTAAAGTAATTCAATTTTAAAATTCATTTATTTGTAAATTAATTAAATTACTTTACCACTAATAAAAGTTGTAAAATTTCTTAATAAATCATAAAATTATATAATTAAAATTACTTTTTATAATAAATTTTTAATATTTTATTATAATTAATATTATTAAAAGTAAATTTTAACAAAATTATCAAAGGTTAATAATAAAATTTTTTAATATAAAATTTCTTAAATTTAGCATATAAATAATTTTAATTATTTATTAAATCATAAAAACTACTATGTTATAATATATATTTATAAAATTATTTAAAAGTAAACTTTAAAAAAATTTTAATTTTTTATAAAAATAAATTAAAAAAAATTTTTTATTTGCAAATCTCTATAATTTAAGAAATAATAATTAATTAAATAAAACTATTAATTAAATTATTATATATAATCTAAAAATAATTAGCATAATAATAATTATTTTAAATATATATATTATATTAAAAAAGAATATATATAAATTTTTCATTTTTAATATAAAAATTAAATTAAAATAAATTTTATTTATTTAAATTAATTATATAAAGTTTTTATAAATAATATTTAATTATAAAATTTAATTTATCAATAAAAATAGAAACATTTTTAAAAAAATAATTTTTAATTATATATAAGGTATTTAAATACTATATAAAACTTAAGAAATAGATAATTAATATTTGTAGTATAAAAAATTTTCTAAATTTCTAAATTAATTAATAAAAATAAAATATAATAAAATATAAAATAAAACAATAAATAGCAACCTAATTTAATAACTAATTTTAATTAATAAGTTTTTATTATTAAAATTAATAATATAATACTTTGTAAATTTATATTTAATTATATTAAAATATTAAATATATTTCAATAATTTAATAAATTATATAAAAAAATTAAAAATAAAATTTTATTAAAATTATAAAAAGAAAAAATTTTATAAATTAAAATATAATTATTTTACTAAATTTAATTATTAAAATAAATAAATTATTTATAATAATTATTTTTTAGTTAAATATTATAAAATAAATTAAATTATGATTAAAATAAATATTATAAACTTTATAAATAAAAAATAAAATAATTAATATATATATTTAATAATTATATTAATTATATAACTTAAAACTAGTAAAAATAATATAATTTTATAAATAAAAATATATATATATATTAATTTTAAATTTAATTATAAAATATTTTAACTCTACATTTATAATATTTATATTTTAAAATTAGTAATTATATTATTAGTTTTAATTAAAGTCTATATACAAATTATTTATTAAAAATAATAAGTTATCTTTTTAATTTGTCTGCAATTTTATTTAATAATTAAAATTTTTTTAATAATTAGTTTTCTAAATAAAAATTAAATATAAAATAATGTAATTAATAATTTTTTTAAAATTAAATATAAGTTAAAATTTTAAACTTATATATATTTTACTATCTTTTTGATTTCAGAAATAAAGAAATGATCTATGAATAATAATCTGTATAATAATACTTAAATAATAATTAAAAAAACTTACTATTATAAATAATAAAAATTATTAATTTCAAAAATTAATAATAAATTCTAAAAAGAAATTGAAGGAGAAAAAAAGATTAGAAGAAATAAAAAAGAAATTAAAAAAAAACTTATTTTTTATAGATAACAAAAATTAACAATTTGAATTGAAGAAATATTAGTTAAAATAGTTTAAATTAGCTAAAAATTAGATGGCTGATTTGATATTCTTTATGATCAATTTACCATATTTTCTGATTTATACAAATACATGCTGATAGATCCAATTGGGCATAACCATTTAACATCAAATTTAGAACTAAATTCAACTATAAATCAGCTTAAATTGACCTTAATTAAGCATTAATTCAGCATTAATTTAGAACTTAAATAATCATAAATCAGCCTAAAATTGACCTCAATTTGATATTAATTCAATCAAATAAGCATATAAATCAATACATTTTATTTATTAAATTTATTAAATATTAAAATTTTATTAATAATAAAAACCTAATATAAATTCACAAAAATATAATAAAAATATTATCAAAATTTATTGATTAATTTCCTATTTAACAAATATAAGCAAAAAAGTGGAAATACTATGTAAAATAATAAAGATATAATTCATTTTCCTTTTAAATCCCTTAAATCATCCTAAATCTTTATTATCTAATATTGTCATTTTCAAAAAAATAATAAAATAATAAATATATATTCTATTTTCTATCTAAAAATCATTTGAAATTATCTAAAAATATAAAAAATAATAAATAAAATAATAAAAAATAAAAATCTACCACTTCTTATCAAATTACTTAAAATTATAGTTTTTTATTATAGAAATAAAAAAATCAGTTCATTATTTAAAGTTAACTGATAAATTAATAAAATTCAATTTGAGTTTCATCTAAATTTGATAGTTAGATGTATGTTTCTATTATAAAAAAAAAAAATCAGTTTATTACTTTAAAAATTTAACAAAAATTCAACTTAAGTTCATCAATTTTAATAGCTAAAGATATATTTCTATTATAAAAAGTAAAAAAAAATCAGTTTATTTTTTATTTATTTTTTAAAAAATTGACTAAATTTTAACTTAAATTTTGTTTAATTTTATAGTTAAAAGTATGTTTCTATTATAAAAAGTAAAAAAATCAGTTTATCATTTTGAAAAATTAACTAAAATTCAACTTTTTCTTTATCTGATTTTGATATTTGATGGTATATTTCTATTATAACAAATAAAAAAAATTAGTTTATTATTTTAAAAAGTTGACTAAAATTTAACTTATATTTCAGCTTATTATTCATCCAATTTTGATAATTAGAGATATATTTCTATTATAAAAAGTAAAAAAAATTAGGTTATTATTTGTAAAGTTGACTAAAATTTAACTTAAGTTTTTTTTGTTTTTAAGATGATTTTTTTTCAATATTTTGATGATATTTAAAAAAAGAAAATTTGAAAATGATTATAAAAAGATAAAGTTTTAAAATTATTTTTAAAAAGTAAAAAAATTAAGCTTATTTATATAAATATACTGATATTATTTTAGCAAATCAATTTAATCGAAAATTCAATTTATTAGAATAATAAAACCATCATATCTAAAAAATAAGAAATGTATCATATCTAAGAAATGATAAATTATTATACCTAAGGTTACTTGTCTAAACTTATTTTGAATTTAGCAAAATGTTTAAACTATAGTTTTACAAAAATTTTATGATTTCTATCAATTTTCATTGATTGGTTGATTAACTGATCAAATTGTTTGACTTATCTGAAAATAGAAAATAGATCAAGAATATCTTACCTCTGATAGACTTACTTTCTGGAGATTCTAATATTTTTGAACTCAAAATGAAGTAACAGGAATTGAAATTTATTGAGAGAGGGAAGAAAAGAAAATATAAAAATTTTTTTCTAACACTCAAAATGATTGGGTTATTTTAGTTAAATTTTATGTAACTTAGTATAGCATTAATCATACTTGTTATTTATCACAATTGAAAATTTCATTCTATAAGTTAACCATCAAAAATTCCACGTTTGATTAATTTCTAATATTTTTTTTAAATAATAATTATATATATATATATAAAGTTCAATTTGATTCTATTAAATTATTTACTGTATTTAATACATAATAAACATCTTTTTCTTACTATTTATTCATAATGTTTATGAAAAAATCCTTTACATATAAAATATTATTTAATCTATTAAATAAATAATAAATTATAATTAAATTAAATAAATAAAATCAAATATGTATATATAAAATACTATATATAAAATAATATTGCATTAAAATCAGAGAATAAGTAGGTAAATATTAATATTATTTTATATATTGCAACAATTTTATATATAAGAAAAAATTTATATATTGAATAATTATTTATTTTTAAATAATATTTAGATTTAAAACAAATTTATGATTAAAGTTCTAAATGAGTCAAATCGAGTCAAGTTTAAAGATCAACTTTATTTAACTCTCTTTTTTCAAGTTGAATCAAGTCAAATTTATTTTATAAAATCTTTCAATTTGATTTGATTCGAGTTATATAAAT